TTTAGAGATGAGGAGGAAAGGGAGATACAGAGGTCAAGGCACGGGCCATCCAGGAAGGGAACCAGAAAGTCATCTGCCTTCACATCCAGCCTTCTGGCCTCAGCGCCAGGCTGCCTCCCCACATCGCCCAGCTAACCCCCTGACCTGAACACGAGAACACATGATTCTGAGGTGCTTCTGAACCAGATGCAGACCTAAGCTGCCTAGTGCCACGAGGCTGCCCACGTGCATCCTCTAAAAATGTGTTTATTGCTTAATCATGAACCACAAAGAAGAGAAAGAGAAGACACCCTGCTCCGCTCCATTGCTTGCAGAGGTGGGGGCCCACAGGCACGGAACACTGCATACAGACTTTTTGGATGTGTTGGCTGGTTTTGCTGAACCCTTTTCCTCTTTTGTTTTTTTAATTCTTTGTTGGAAGGGACAGCTGGCTCTCTGGGAGGAAGAGGGACACAGGCCAAAATGGAGACAATGTGAAAACAAAAGATATCGACTGAAATCTACTTTTGAAAAGGAAGGTGACCCTGGACACAAAATCCATCCTATAGAAGGTTCTGATAGCGAAAAGTGAAAAAACATTTGATTTACAAATATTCCATTTTCTCCAATTTTGTAAGATGCCGACAAAACCCGGAATCGACCTCGGTGGTCAAGGACATAGCAATGTCAAGCGGGGATCAAAAGAGCCAACCTGCCGTGGACTAGAGACGCCTCCGGCCCCACGGCCACCATGCCACTGAGACGCCCCAGTCAAGGTCCCCGGGGCCATCGTTGTCGAACAACCGCCCACAGAACGTGAGGGAGGCTTTCTTACCTGCCTTACAGGTCTTGCCATTGTCCTCTAGCTGCACCCCCGTGGGGCAGGCGCAGGTATAGAAAGGCTCTCGCGGAGACAGCAGGCACAGGTGGGAGCAGCCGCCGTTGTCCTCCTCACAAGGGGTATGGACTGTAAGAAAGGAAATCCACGCTCAACACACAGATGCTCTGACTCTCTCATTGCCGTGACCTCACGCAAACCACCTCCTTGAGCCTCAATTTCCTGATCTGTGTAATGGGAGTATTAACCCATCACTAACTACTCATGGGGCTCCTGTTAGGAAGGGCCTTGGGAGACACTGAGGCACCACAGAGGAGCTGGTTAGTGATGATTCTCCTTCAATCTTAGGGTGCCCGCTGTGGACGTCAACACTGTTGCCATTTAGTTGTTTTCAGCCATATCTGACTCTTCGTGAGCCCGTTTGGGGTTTTCTTGGCAGAGATACTGAAGTGGTTTGCCATTTCCTTCTCCAGATCACTTTACAGATGAGGAAAATGAGGCAAACAGGTTCAGGTGACTTGCCCAGGGCCACACAGCTTGTAAGTGTCTAAGGTCAGAATTGGAACAAAAATGAGTCTTTCTGACTCCAGGCCGGACTATCTGTCCACGTTACGGACCCAGCTAACACTGTACTAGATGCTAAGGCTACAAAGACAAAAACAGAAGGGTCTCTGGCCTCAAGAAGCTTCTATTCAGGCCATCATTTGCCTCCTGTTGGGGATTCACTAGCTGATTCTCCTCTTTTTTTCCACTGGGCTGTCCTTGTTTTATCACCCCTGCTTCCTTCTCTCTTGGGCATCCCCTGCTAAGCCTTCCCTTCTGGGGGTGGGGGGAGGTCTCCCCATAAGCACACCAAATCAAGGAGTCCACTAACTTTGGCCTAACTAACTCATCTGATGCGTCTTTGAAGCACCAGGAGTCCCAGGAACAGACCCAGGCTCCCCATTCTAATTTGTCCTTCTCCTCAAGGACTGAGATTCTGTGGCTGCCCCACAGCACCTGGCCCAGGTCTGGGCACTTAGGAGAGAACGACAATAAGTACCTGATGAATGTCATCGATTTCTCAAGCTACCATACCTGTTGGTATCATTGCCCCAAAACTGCCTTTTCCAAAGTTCCTAATGATCGCTCAGTTGCCAAATCCCACGGCTCTTTCTCCATCCTCCTTGGCCTCTCTGCAGCCTTGGGCACTGGTCATGTCTCTCTCCTCCTTGATCCTCTCTTTTCTCTAGGTTTTTGGGGCCCCCCTCCCCCCACCGGTTCTCTTTCTCCTTTACTGGCGCCTCCTCCAGATCCCGCCCTCTGACCACAGGGTTCCCTCAGGGCTCTGGCCTGGGCTCTCTTCCCTTCTCCCTCTAGACAGATTCACTTGGGGATTTCATCAGCTCCCATGGATTTAATGACGCTCTCTGTGCTAATGATCCTCACATCTACCTATCCAGCCCTAACCTCTCTGCTGACCTCCAATTTCACGTCTCCAACTGCCTTTCAGATATCTCAAACAGGGTATCCAGGAGACGTCTTCAACTCAACTTGTCCAAAAGTGAACTCACTGTCTTTCCCCCAACCTCTCCCTTCCCTCCTCCCTCCATTACTACAGAGGGTACCCCCATCCTTCCTGTCCCTCACACCCTAAGAGTCATCCTGGACTCCTCACCATCTCCCCACTCCCGCCCATACACAATATGGCACCAAGGCCTAGTGATTTTACCTTTGCGGTATCTCTCGAATATGCCCCTTTTTCTCCTCTGACACTGCCCCTACCCTGGTGCAGGTGCTCATCACCTTACGCCCGGACTGTTGCAATAGCTGCTGGGGGTCTGCTTGCCTTAGATCGCTCCCCACTCCAGTCTATCCTCCAATCAGCATACCAACCTAAGGGCTGGCTCCCTCCAATCCTAGCCTGATGGTTTATTCAAACCAAGTCTTTATATAGTTAATAAATAATGATGCTCAAATCGTAACCAATTGACAAGATTAACTTAACCATGCAAGCTTGCTATGGCTAGCATCATGCCCATTTTCCATATGAGGAAACTGAGGTCTAGAGAGGCTCATTTACGCGTCCATGTCACATAGAGGCACCTCTTACATCCAGGCTGCTCTGACTCCAAGCCTGGACTTCTTTCCACTTTCCTCACGGCCACTGGCTACACGCAAACTATTTCCCCTCCCTGGGCCTCAGTTTAGTCAGCTGTAAAATGGGGATAAAACTTTCACTAAGGGACTCACAGGACGTTAAGGAGGAAAGAGCTTTGTGAACGACACAAGCCGGCAGGAACATGAGCCGCCATGATCCCTGGGTTTGATGCCCAAACTGGCCTTTAATGCCCATGAAGTCTTCGGCACTTCATGTTTCTTCTGTGTTGAGCAACAGCTCATCAGCCTCGCCTCACGCAGCTTAATCGTGTCCCTGCACCCGTGGACGCTGTTGCCACAAAAATGTCTCTGTGTCCCCTCCTGATGTGGCGTAAAGCACGGCTACCTGACCGCGGGGCCCACGAGCCTCAGGATCGGGTCCTGGGAGGAAGGGCCACGCACCCTCCTGCAGAAGGCCTGGAAGGAGACTGCCCCCAGCCCTTCCACGATGGCCACACTGGCCAGTGGTGGTGGGAATGCGCAGACCCCAGCCCAGCGTCTGGGGACAAAGAAGAGGAAAGAAGAGTCTACTCACAATAGGGCTGCCTGTCCTGGCTTAACACTTGGATGTCCATGGGAGAGTACAGGGCGCCGAGGATCTCTCGCCTCTTTTCCCCAGTTCTCTTATTGCAGGCATGAATGGAGCGTGTCTGCCAGTCCGTCCAGTAGAGGGTGTCCCCTGAGAGGGTCAGCGCAAAGGGGTGGGTCAAGCTGCCTTCCACCACTTTTTGCCTGGTTTGTCAAATACAAGAAATGAACGCCATCAATGCAGCTGTGGGGACGTCGATGACCCCTTTTATAGACGGGCCACGTTCAGCTCCCTCTGAACACAAGTGTGACCACCCTCACGGTCCAGCCACTTTTGTGTCGCTGAAGGGCTGCCAACGGACCGATGCAATGGTCCCCCGGAGACCAGCAAGGGGCAAGGGGAGGTCACCAGGGAGATCTCTGGGCCCATCACCCTGAGGCCACGGGCGTCTCAACCCAAGCTCTCTCTGCAAAGGACTTCTGCAGCAACTGCTGGGAATTCTCTGGCACATGCCTGCTGTGTGGCCCTGGGCAAGTCACTTAACTTCTCTAAGCCTCGATTTCCTCACTTGTAAAGTTTTACAGCATCTTCAGAATTTAGATAATTTGTGCAACCCGGAACGTGGCAGACAGAACTTTTATTTCATTTGACACATGAGAGAATCTCCAAAGTGGAAGGGACATCAGAGACACTGAGGCCAACCCGAACCCAAAGAGGAATCCCCGCTGCTGACACCCCCAACCAGTGGCCACCGAGCTCTTACCTGAAGACCTCCAGTGGAGAAGAATGGGCTTCCCAAGGCCGCCCACTGAACTTGTGGGAGCCTAGCTCCGGTCTCTAGAGCCAAGAAGAGCAAGGCTCACAGCCCTTCACGTACTTGAAGACAGCGACTCTGGAATCACAGACCCAGATCCCCAGGGGATCTGGGGATCACCTACTCCAACTTCCTCCCCTTACAGGTGAGGAAACTGAGTCTCAGAGAGGTGCCTTGCCTAGGGCCACACAGACAGTGTTAGAGTCAGGTCTCCTTGACTCCAAGACCCACTCTTAGGCTACCGCGCCTTTTACACTTGCTGAATAATTGGAAGGAGACCCCTGAGCAAAGAGGAACGTACCTGAAGGAGCCATCCAAGTTGGCTCGGTGGATAAAACTCAGCTTTGCATCTGCCCAGTAAAGCTTCTGCTCCTCAAGGTCGATCGTGAGGCCATTGGGCCAGTAAATGTCGGAATCAACAATGATTTTCCTCGTGCTGCTGTCCATCCCCGCACGTTCTATCCGGGGGGTTTCACCCCAGTCTGTCCAATACATGTACCTGGAGATAGTATGAAAACACAGTCAATATGAAATCACGGGGGATCCTCAGCCTAAGTGGTTCAGAGTCTTTGAGACTCAACTTTAAGGATCACAGGATTTAGAGCCCAAAGGGACCTTGGATAACATCTCACTCACTTTTTAAAAAAATCAGAGCCAACGCTGAGACACCTGAGAAATGTTTGTAATACTCCTATCGGGGAGCGGTGTGATACTGGATAGAGGGCCCACCCCAGAGTCAGAACATCTTAGGATCATAGATCGAGAGTCAAAAGAGTCTTTCCGTCCAACCCTCTCATTTTATTTTTCAGAAAATGTGATCTCTATTTCATTTTGATTTTCTCAATTGAGAAGCATTTTTTTCTTCTCCCTAAGTGGGGAAAAAACTCTTGTTACAAATATGTATGACAAAGCAAAACAATTTCCCATGTTGGCTATGTTAAAAAAAATTTTCTGCACCCAGAGTAGATCGCCTCTCTGTCCAGAAGTGGATTTGTCCTCCCGAACTGTGGTTGGTACCTGCATTGATGAGAATTCTCAAGTCTTTTAAAGTAAGTGAATCAGCCGATAAACATTTAGTAAATGCCTACTACATGCCATGTGTGGTGCCAAGCACCGGAGATACAAAAAGATACAAAAGACAGCCCCTGCCCTCACAGAGTTTACAAAATCTAATTAGGGAGATGACATGCAAACAAGGATGTACAAACAAGCTTTTTTCAGGATGTACAGGAAGTGAATCAAGTTGTTTTTACAATGCTGCCATCATTGCAACAATTGTTCTTCACGTCCTGCTCACTTCCCTATGCATCAGTTCACATAAATCTTCCTAAGTTTCTCTGACATCATCCATTTTGTTGCCTATTATGGCACAATCCTCAAGTGATGGGTGCCACCCTTAGTTTCCAGTTCTAGGTCACCATAAAAAGAACTGCTATAAACATTGGTGTACATGTGGATACTTTTCTTCTTTGATCTTTTTCAAACCCATTTTAGAGATGAGGAAACTGAGGTCCCAGAGGTCACATGACTTATCCAAGTCACCAAGGTAGTGAGCAGCGAGCCAGGTTTGAAGCCCAGAAGGACTAACTCCAGATCCAAAACTAATGCCTTTCTCTATGATAGAATGGTGGGCTAGATCCCTCTACTTCTGAATTTGGGCTCTGGTCTTTTTTTTTTTAAGTTTATTGATGTTTCATTTTTATATTATAAAATTTACTGATAACCCCCCATCCATGAGTGGAGAGGTCTCTTTAACAAACTAAAACATTAAGTAAAAATACAATAAAATAACAATACAATGACCTTGCTTGGAGGTGCATGCAACATTCCACCTATGGAGCACCTCTCCTACCAATCGATTAAAAATTTTTAAATGAACATGAACATTTCCTCTCTTTCCCACCTCACTGAAAAAAAGAATAGCAAAGTCCTTGTAACAAAAATGCATAGTCAAACAAAACAAATCCCCTCAATGGTCATATACAAAAATACATGTCTCATTCTGCCCCCAAACCCCTCTCTTCTCGGGCAGAAGGGGGACGGTGCATTTCATCAGCCATTCTCTGGAACCACGGATAGTCATTGGCAGGATAGTGGTTCGTGAAGCTTGCAAAGAGCTGTTTGTCTTCATGGCCTTGTTACTATAGAAACTGTTCTCCTTGTTGCCTTCCCTCTGCTTCAGTTCATACAAGACTCTCCATGTCCCTTTGAAACCATCCATCTTCTCATTTCTTTCAGCACAATATTACTCAATTACATTCATAGACCACAGCTTATCCAGTCACTCCTCAATTGATGGGCATCCCCTTGGTTTACAAAGTGGTTGCTTTAGTTTTTGTTTGGCCACCACAAAAAATAAAAAGTTGCTATAAATATTTTTGTACATACAAAGCCTTTTCCTCCTTCTTTGATCTCTTCTGGACACAGGACTAGCAGTGGTAGAGCTGGCCGGTGGACACACACTATTTACTAATTTTTTATGTATAAATCCAAAGTTGTGTTTCCAGAATGGCTGTACCCATTCCCGGGTCCACCAACTTTGTATCAATGTGCCTGTTTCCCACAGCCCCTCCAACATTGGTGATTTTTCTGTTTTGTCATCCTCGCCAACCTGATGAGTGTGAGGTAGGATCTCAGAAGTGCTTTAATCTGACTTTCTTTAATTAGTAGCAATTTGGATCATTTTTTCATATGGCATATATATCATAGGCCTAGGTGTCTTCCCTTGAGAAGTGCCTGTTCATATCCTTAGAGCATTTGTCAACTGGGGAATGACATACGTGTGTGTATGTATGTATATATATATGTGTATACATACATATATATACACAAATGCATATGTATACATACATACACACACACACACACATATATATATAACCTAGAAATGAGACCTTTAAAGTCCTACCAAGTTCCTTTTATGACGTAAGTATGGTTTTGATATTCAAACCAAGGAGAGCAAAAACAAATAAAACTATAGACCAATCTCCCTAGTGAATATTGATGCAAAAATTTTAAATAAAACACTAGTAAGGTGATTACAGCCATACATCTCAAAGATCATACACTATAACCAGGTGGAATTTATACCAGGAATTATGGGATGGATCAATATTAGGAAAACTCTCAGCATAATTGACCCTATCAATGATAGAATCAACAAAATCACAGGATGATTTCAACAGATTCAGAAAAAAAAAAAGCTTTTGGCAAAATACAACACCCACTCCTATTAAAAACATGAGAAACCATAGGAATAAATGAAGCTTTTCTTAAAATGGTAAGTAGTATACAGATATTTAAAAGCTCTAAAACCGTTAGCCAGCATTATTTGTAATAAGGAAAAGCTAAAAGCCTTCCCAATAAAATCAGGAGTGAAGTAAGGATGTCCATTATCACCTTAATTATTCAATATTGTACTAGAAACGCTAGCTGTAGTGATAAGACAACAGTAGTAAGATAAGTAATAGTAGCGAGAAAAACAATATTAGAAAGCAATCGTAATAAGCAAAAGAAATTGAAGGGATAAGAATGGGCAACAAGGAAGCAGATGATCACTCTTGGCAGATGATATGATGGTACTTAGAGAACTCTAGAGAATCAACAAAAAACTAGTCAAAACAATAAAAACTTCAGCAAAGTTGCAAGATATAAAATAAATCCGCACAAATCATCAGCATTTCTATTTACTATAAACAAAACCCAGCAGGAAGAAAGAGAAATTCCACTTAAAATAACTGAAAACAGTATAAAATACTTGAGAGTCTATTTGCCAAAACATACCCAGGAACTCTATGAACATAACTACAAAACACTCTTCACACAAATAAAGACAAATCTGAACTGGAGAAATATTAATTGTTCATGGATAGGCCAAACCAATATAATAAAAATGACAATTCTACCTAAATTAATTTACTTACTAAGTGCCTTACCAATCAAACTACCAAAGAATTACTTTTATAGAGCTAGAAAAAAAAATGACAAAATTCATCTGGAAGAATAAAAGGTCAAGAGTATCAAGAGAATTAATGAAAATAAATGTGAAGCAAGGTAGCCTAGCCATACCAGGTCTCAAACTGCATTATAAAGTAGCAGTCATCAAAACAATCTGGTACTGGCTAAGACATAGAGTGGCGAATCAATGGAACAGATAAAGTACACAAGACAGTAGTAAATGACCACATTAATCTAGTGTTTGATAAACCCCAAGATCCAAGCTCTGGGGACAAGAACTCACTATTTACAAAAACTGCTGGGAAAACTACAAAACAGTTTGGCAGAAACTAGGTTATCTCACACCATATGTTAAGATAAGGTCAAAATGGGTACATGATTTAGACACGAAGGGAGACAGTATTAACGAATTAGGGGAGCATAGGAAAAATTATCTGTCAGATGGATGGATAAGGGAATCATTTATGACCAAACAAAAAATAGAAAGGATCACAGGAAGTAAAATGGATAATTTTTACTACATTAAATTAGAAAGTTTCTGTACAAAACCAGGACAGCCAAAATTAGAAGGAAAGCAGGAAACTGGTGGAAAAAAATTTACAGCAAATTTCTCCGATAAAGGCCTCATTTCTCAAATATATAAGGAACTGAGTCAAATTTATAAAATTAAGAGTTATTCCCCAATTGATAAATAGACAAAGGATATAAAAGGCAGTTTTCAGAGGAAGAAACCAAAGCTACCTATAGTCATGAAAAAATGCTCTAAATCATTATTGATTAGAGAAATGCAAATTAAAATAACTCTAAGATACCACCTCCCACCCAACAGATTGGCTAACATGACAGACCAGGAAAAAGACAAATGCTGGAAGGGACGTGGAAAAACAGGGACATGAATGCATTGTTCGTTGAGTTGTGAACTGGTCCGACCATTCTGGGGAACAATTTGGAACTATGCCCAAAGGGCTATAAAACTGTGCATACCCTTTGATCCCGCAATATCGCTACTATGTCTTTATTCCAAAGAGATCAAAGGAAAAGGCTCTCCATGTAGAAAAATATTGACAGCAGCTCTTTTCGTGGTGGTAAAGAATTGGAAATTGAGGGGGTTGCCCATCCATTGGGGAATGGCTGAACAAGTTGTTCTATATGATTGTGGTGGAATACTATTGTGCTATAAGAAGGGATGAGCAGGATAGTTTCAGAAAAACCTGGAAAGACTTAAATGGACTGACGCAAAGTGAAGCGGACAGAACCAGAAGAACATTGTACACAGTAACAGTAATACTGCAACGATGATCAGCTGTGAAACATTTATCTAATCTGATCAAGACAATGATCCACGTCACTTCCAAAGGACTCACGATGAAAAATGCTATACATCTCCGGGGAGAACTAGTTAACTCAGATTGAAGCACGTTTTTTCACTTTTTTATTTTTATTTTTGTTTTTGCAACACGGTTAATATAGAAATATGTTTTGTGTGACTTCACATGTATAATGGGTATTATATTGTCTTCTCAATGGGTGGGAGAGGAATTG